ATTCTAGAAAAAATATTTAAAATTTTGAGTGTCGAAAGGTATACTTTATGCTGATTTTACAAGACCATCATTTACGATAATTCAAGTATTCCAAAACCAGGACAGAGAACAGGACATGAAGAACCCAGAACGCTCACTGTGCTGAGGGAGAAAGTACTGAGTTCAACAGTCTGTGAACACTCAGTGCTGGTTTCAGAACCTACATGCTCTAATAATTATAGTATGTGTTCTTCCTTTTTAAATATTTTTATCCTTTGTTCATTTACATGCAGTTTATTGCATATTAACTTATCTTCATTTTCTCAATCTTTAACTTCTAGACCTAATTTAATTCATCCTCTGAAGTAATAACTTTGACACCTGTCACCACAGGGATTATGGTTTTAGTCAGGGAACAAGATGGTGAGACTGAGGAAGACATTACGATGGGACGCTGACATTTTAAATGTCAAAAGAGACACCACCCTTTCCTCCACCTCAGGGTTGTCAGGAGTCTGCACAGTAAAGTCTCGGTGTGTGTAGGAATGCTTCTCTGTTCTCTCATGCATCTGTTTTTCTAAAGATTTATTTTATGTGTACGTATATGTATATGTGTTCATGTATGCATTTGTACATGTGTGAGTAGAGGTGGCTGTGGAGGCCAAAGGGGGTATCAGATCCCTGGACTGGAGTTACAAGTGGTTGTGATCTGCCTGATGTGGGTGTTGGGAACCAAACTCCCATCTTGTAGGAGAGCAGTACATGCTTTTAACCTCCTAGCCATCGCTCCAGCCCTTATCTGGTATTATAGTCACACAGAAACTAAGTGACAACGTGGGTGAAAGGCTGTTCTGGGCAGAGCTTTGGCACCCACCACACACTGCATGTCTGTGGTAAAGAACGGTGAAGCCCCTAGCCAACTCCATTCAAAGTGAGCACGGTGGTGCTCGTGAATGGACAGCAGGGACCCAGGTTAACGGGGTTAAAGGCTTTGCAGCTGCCGTGGTGAAAAGCAGCTTCACCTGAGGAGCAGACGCGAGGTCTAGTTAGTCACAGCAAGTCTGGGCCTGGGACAGTGCCATGCTCCGTGGGAAGAGGTGACACCTTGGCAGAGATCAGGCACACACACTGCGCTGGAACAGAGCGGCTGCAGAGCTGAGGTGGGTGGAAAGCCAGCAACGAGGCAGGCAGGGACATTGCCTCACTGATTTGAAGAAGACGATCTGGTAAATAAAAGGATGATTCCATTTGCTCATAGTTAACAGTTGTTCGTAATAATAATGCATGTGAAACGAGGGCGGTGTGACAAACGGCAGGCAGGGGATGCCCAGCCATGAGGGTAGGAAGGAGAGCACGCGAGTCTGAGCCCAGCAGTGCAGATCATTCTACAGGAAGCAGGGAGGGGGCACGTGAACAGGCTCCCTCCGCTGTTGCACTGGAAACCATGTTACAGGTGACTGCAATGGGTGGATAGCCACAGGAACAGTGGAAAGCTGTGCGCCTGTGAGGAGACACTCATCTAGACAGAGAGAGCGCTCCAGGCACACAGAAAGGACAACCGAAGTTCCGGTTGAGCCGGGCGCGATGGTGGAGCCTGGGGAGGGGGCACGTGAACAGGCTCCCTCCGCTGTTGCACTGGAAACCATGTTACAGGTGACTGCAATGGGTGGATAGCCACAGGAACAGTGGAAAGCTGTGCGCCTGTGAGGAGACACTCATCTAGACAGAGAGAGCGCTCCAGGCACACAGAAAGGACAACCGAAGTTCCGGTTGAGCCGGGCGCGATGGTGGAGCCTGCCTGGAACCCCAGCTCTCAAAGGCAGGAGCACTCAGAGTTTGGGGTCGGCAGGCTGTGGAGTGAGACCTTACCTCAACAACATGAAAGGGAATTCTTAAACACAGTGGACTTATGGAAAACTCCTCACCAATGTTTCAGGGGCGGCGACACCCAAAAGAAGACATTGCTAAATCATTTTCAGTTTGTTTTTCTTTTTTTGAGTCAAGGACTCCCTACGTAGCCCTGGCTAGCCTGGAACTCACTTTGTGGACAAGGCTGTCCTCAAACTCATGGAGATTCATGTGCCGCAAGACTGCTTCCCAAGTGCTGGGATCAAAGGCATGAGACATCATGCTCAGCTGCAAAATTTTTTATAGAAAGGATTTCTGGATCTATCGAATAATGCTCTACTTATAACTCTGTCCTACCTGACACTGTGGTATCCTTCAGGAAGTGATGTTTCATTAAAAGGTGGTTGGTGAACTGCAGGTGTTGAGATGCCCCCAGAAGTCAAGTAAAGAATAACCTCATCGTCAGGAATCTGAGGCACACAGTGGGCATTTGACTAACACAGTATGATGTTGTATAATATTACTCCCAGATATATTTTCTGATCACTCTGAGGTTAAAATCTGGACATTTTAAAATGTGCTGATACACAGAATTGCAATTAGATTTAGAATGTAGGAAAGAAGTTTTTAAAATTCCATGAATCTCGGCTGTGAGGGCAAAGAACACAAAAGAAGCCGTTAAAAAGATAAGTGTCCTAATTTGACCAAAAAATAGAGTTTAATGGCTTGACCTACCACTGATGATAAAATGTGAACGTTATGAACCGTAGATGAGCAGGCAACCCATCAGTTCTCTGGAATAGATTGTGGCTGTTCTTCAAAGCGGTTAGGAATCTCCAGAGTGGTTCACTTTAACCTCAGAAATGAAAATGACTTTGCAACATGTAACAGGCATGTGATTTTAAATCAGATGCTCAGAGAAGAACAAACAGGACCATTGCAGATGACACCGACCAAAATAACTTTAGGGATTTTCCTCAGCTCAGCACTACTCCATGTCTGCTGGAATAGCTTGTAGTCTTTATACTTCATAAGGTCAAAAGAACATGCTATTTTGAGTGAAGAGCTCAAAAATGACTTTAATAACAAAAGAAGGGATGTAGATCCAAGTGAAGAAATTTACGGAGCTGGAGTATGTGGCAGACAGAAGTCAGAT